GCAGGGGGAGGGGGGGAAAGAAACAGATGTACTGTGTTCTACATGTACCATGTGAGATACATAGTACTGCCAATTACCCATTCTAATGTATCGGGAATTATACTAATAAATGTAGCTCTCTGTAGATGTGAGGACACGTCGCAGTGGCCGGTATATCGTAATCTGTATAACAATGTATGTTCTAATATTTTCCTTACAAGCATGTATTGTTCAGAATTAGAAATAAAAATATTCTTTTCGTCTCGAGCAGCGAGTAACTTACTCAATACTCATCCTTTTCCTCTCACGTGCCGACCACGTTATGTTACTTTTATACACGTCTGATTATTTCGTCACACCCTTTACGTTTTCTCCGTACCTTGTGTTTTGTAACATGTCCATCTCTTTCTGCCTGGTTTTGCGTCATTCGTAATCCGACGCGATCACGCATCGGCGCATCTCGACGTTCGCGTGCGGACGTCTCTATGAGAGCAATGCGCGCCCGATTTCGACATCAATCATGACTGTGCATTCGTACGATACAGGAAAAGAAACGGTCCGCGAAGTGGTAAGATCCATCGACAAGTATGGCTTTTACCACGCCGTGGAGTTTAAGCATCACAACTACGTCGCGATGGAGGATTACCTGAAGAAGCTGAGCGCGAGTTACCCCAATATCACGAGGCTCTACAGCATAGGGTCCTCCGTGCAGGGCCGGCAGCTGTACGTTATGGAGGTGACGAAGAACCCCGGCGTCCACAGCCCCGAGAAACCGGAGGTCAAGTACGTCGGGAATATGCACGGCAACGAGGTGGTCGGCAGGGAGATGCTGCTGCTACTGCTGAGATATCTCTGCGAGAACTACGGCACCGATAAGAGAGTCACGCGGTTAGTGGAGACCGTCAGGCTCCACGTGCTACCGAGCATGAACCCCGACGGATACGAGGTCTCCCAGCAGGGCGACGCTTACTGGGCGAAAGGCAGGGAGAACGCGAATGGCGTAGACCTTAATAGAAACTTTCCCGATTATTACGAAAGCAACGAAGTACGTTCTCACGATATGTCATCTTATGTTATATACGTTTGCTGATCTATTTACTAATTCGTTATCTCGATATACTTCAATCTTTATTTTACTTCTAATGCCACCTTAAAGAGGAGCGAGCGACGTGCAATACAATCCTCAGAGAAATAAGTGTACATAAATACGAGATGTTTTTAAGATGCTTTAAGTAAAACAGCATAGAGATTATTTCAGCTTTATTTGAATTGTTATAATAAATTCAAATATATGCCCTCAGAACACTAGCTCTTCGCTGTAAAACTATGATATCGAGTTCACATAGTATCTTCTCGTTATGGGTTCTAGATTCGCCTGAATTATCGTCTTGTAGTACGAGTCAACTTGCGTATCGTTCAACGATTCGTACAGTTAGAAAACCGCGCTCACCTAACAACATCTTTCAGCTTAATCGGCACCAGGAACCCGAGACCAAGGCGGTGATGGATTGGATAGCGAGAATCCCGTTCGTGCTCTCCGCCAATCTTCACGGGGGAGCGTTGGTCGCGAATTACCCGTACGACGACGGGCCGCCGGACTCGAGGCCAGACAACGTCGCGAATCCAAGCCCGGACAACGACGTGTTCCGGATGCTGGCGTTGACGTACTCCAACGCTCATCCCCGCATGCACCTCGGCCAACCGTGTCCGCCGATATTGAACGACGTCTACGGCAAGACGGTGCTCGAGGAACGTTTCCCGGAAGGTATAACGAACGGCGCCGCCTGGTACTCCGTGTCTGGCGGCATGCAGGATTACAACTACGTGCACAGCAACGACTTCGAGATCACCCTGGAGATCGGATGCACCAAGTACCCGAACGCCAGCGACTTGCCGAATTACTGGCTGGAGAACAGACAGCCGCTTCTGCGTTTCATCGAAATGGTACAGCTCGTTTAGCAGACGCGAATGGTCGAGGAGATGTACGTGCGATTGCAATTAATCTAATTTTAACTACTCTACGTTTCCTCTCCGCAGTCCCGCAAAGGTATAAACGGTATGGTGAGTTCGTCCATCGGCACTCCGGTACACCATGCGAAGATCTCGGTCGAGGGTATAGAGCACGATATTTACACTGCCGAGAAGGGCGATTATTGGCGACTATTGGTACCAGGACAATACAATGTAACTGTCAGCGCAGTGGGATACGAAACACTCACGCAGAGTGTCACCGTACCGTCTTACGGCGAAGATGTCGGGGACGGAGAAGTGACTCTGGACTTTACGTTAATGCGTGACGATCCTCAGCACTGGTACGATTATTCATTACGCGCTCTGCGATTCGGTTGCACGATACGAAATTAATACGTGCTTATTAAGGCGGAGAGCTGGACACATAGTAGCGTCACAAGTAGACTTCTTAAATGATTTGTCGAAATATGTCTCGGATCTGTCTCACGAAGATGACTCAAGTCGATTTTAGTGGCGAAGGCGTCGCGTCGCGTTCATCCAAGTAGTTGCATTTTATTGCTCAATGTGTGCTTCCTGGAATGTAAAAGATATTAACGGGATTAATTGTTGATTACCTGCCTCTAGGTCATCCGCGTACGATTTTCGATTGATGGCAAACTTGCAGAATGGCTATTTGAAAAATTCCGACTTGAGCGCTAGATTCAGCCAGTTGGAAAATCATCAGCCCGACACCGCAGAATTCATAGCCGGTGACTCGTTGACCAGCATGGCCATTCACTCGCTGAAAATCACGCATAATGTGAGTGTTCGTATTGCAGACATGTCGTCCACTATATTGTTCTGTATCTCTATTTCAACTCGATACTTTCCAGATGGGGTCGCCCGATGAGAATAAATTTCGCATCGCGTTGGTGGGAGGACTGTTTGCCTCCCAGCCGGCCGGTAGGGAGATTCTGTTACGTTTGGCGACGCACATCCTTATGGGAAATCAAATTGGCCACCCGCCTATTCAGAGGCTACTGGACGACGCTACGTTGCACTTTGTTCCCGGCGTCGATCCAGGATTTGACGACATAGAGCCGAGTAATGATTGCAATCCCGTAGTCAACGACGAAGTAGGGGAGAAGGTGCTATTAGAGAGCACCGATGGGTCCAAGCGAGCGGATAGAGTTGCGGATGCGTTTAAGAGAATGTTACAGGCCGAAAATTACGACGTCGTTGTAATACTGGGAGGTGGCACCTCGCAAATCAGGTAATGCAGCGTATGGCTGTTTATAAATTCGCGAAGAAACCTGGCGGAGGTGCCTGATGAAATTTTTACGCTTCAGCTATCCGACGAACGACGATCTGCATACGTTTAAAACGCTCGTCGACGCCTACGAGCGTGCGAGACACTACGGAATATGCAGCCGGTCGAACAACAGTACGCAACGGTTGACGAATTTCATACAGCACGCTTACGGCACGCCGGTGGTAAGCGTAGTCCTCTTTCTCTCTTCGCACTTACTCTTGTATATATTATTAATTCATTGCTGACTGCTCCAAACGTTCTCTCGTCTGCGCGCAGATGGGCGTTAGTCTGTCGTGTTGCAAGTATCCGCTCGCGGACTCGATTCCCATCATCTGGCGCGAGAATCTGATGCCGCTCATGGACCTCGTGCAGAGCCTCGCGAGCGGAATCCGCGCGATAATAACGGACAAGCAGGGCGCCCCGCTGAGAGAAGCCAGCGTCAAGATCGGAAATAGGAGCTACGGCGTGTCGCGCAACATGGCCTACCTCAAGGCGCTACTGGTGCCCGGCGAATACACGTTGACGATTTCTTGCGAGGGATACGTGACGCAAGTGCTGAAAGTTCCTGTGCAACAGCAAAGGGTAACGAACATCGACGTTAAACTGCAGAAGGACACGACGTCGGCCTACAGTCATCGCCGCAAGCCACCACCCGAGGAGCTGAGCTTCGTCAACCGCGCTTTGACCAACTTGAACGCCAAGTATCCGCGGCAGTCGACCTTGCACAGCATCGGCAGAACCGCGGAGGGCAACGAGATAATGTGCCTAGAGATCGGCACCAACAACGATGAGAAAAAGACGGGGCGACCTGCCATCGTTTTCTCCGCCAGCATCCTACGCGCGGAGCCAGTGACCACTGGGGTGCTCTTGCACTTCGCCTCGTATCTCTTGGATAATTATAAGCAGAATGCTACGATCGCGCGCTACGTGGATGACTTCTCCACATACGTGGTTCCGGAATTCTCCGGTCCCAACCACAGTCCCGCTTGCTCGCCACCACTGGAAGGCTTGCAGTTCCCCGTTCACGAGCAGCTCAGTGGGCAGGCGGCCATGATCGTCAGCTGGTTCAGGGACGTGAACGCCGTGCTGGCCGTGAATCTCAATAGCGGGTCGCGGCATATCGAAATTCCGTTCGGTGGCGATCACGGAAAGGCGCGCGAGCGAAAGTACGAGAGCGACGACGACGATTTACTGCGACACTTGGCGTTGGTGTACGCCGACGCGAGGGCGGGCAAGCTGTCCGCGAGCACGAAATGCAAACAGGACTCGATCGTCGGCGACAACAGCGTGATCCACGCGGCGGCGGGATTTGGCGGGAGGAGAGGTCATCCCTTGATGGATTACGCCTACTTCAACACGAGCACCTTGATGATGGACGTGTACGTCACCTGCTGCACCACCGACTACTCGAACATCGTGTGGCAGGAGAACCAAGCCAGTTTGCTGGCCTGCATGCAGGAGATGACGAAAGGCGTAAGAGGATACGTCACCAGCGAGGCGGACGAACCGATTGGGAACGCTGTCTTGTCTTACGACAAGTCACCGCGTCTGATTAAAAACGGCAGGTTGGGCTTCTACTCGATCCTGCTGCCGCCCGGGAGTCACAACATAACGGCCACGGCGCCCGGATACCACGCGGAGACCAAGCTCGTCTCCACGCCCTCGCTCGAGGTGAAGAAATTCTCAAGATTGATGTTCAAGCTCGTTCGCGACGACGGTATCGTGGGAATACCTAGGCTGGTGTTCATCATGATAACAAGTAAGTCTGTCACGGAATGTCCAACGAAGAGATTAAGGAAGACTTATATTACTTACAATATGAATGCGATGCAATTCGATTGCAGGTATGGTATGTCTCGGCATCGTCGCGTGCTGCGTGTGTATATGTGCGAGGTGTCGAGCTTCGGCGGATACGGAAAAGGCTAGGAAGGGATACGCCTTCAGTTTGCTGCAAGACGGCGGTAGCTTCTTCGACGACGATGAGAAGGAAGTTGAGATATTTCGAAGACCGGCGGACGGTAATTATATCAATGTGCTCGCTAGAGATTGTGAGAAATAATCTTACACGTGTTGTTGTACGAATCCCAATTTCTGTTTGTCACGATCTAGGATATAAGGGCAATGGGGTGACCGTGCCGTATTTCGATGACGACAACAGTTCCGAAGAGGGTAGTGATCTGGAGTTTATTCAGCCCGAACGGGAATGGAACGATGTAGTACCGAGGAAGACGTGATAGTGAATATTTTTGTACGGTATATAATATTTGGTTGCACAATATACGCGGTCAATTTAAGCAAATCTCTGAGACGAGAGAAGAGACAATTTTTGTCGGATTAAAGCAACTTTGAAGAATTAAATTTACAAAAGGTACATTAGGCTTTCAAAATATAAAAATAAGTGGAGGGTAGGAAGGACCAATGCGAGCCGTACGCAGTTAATAAGGCGTAGTGTTTCAAATAGTCATGGACAATTTAATAATAGAACGTAAAATACAGACGTTTCGATCCACTCCGGATCATCTTCAGTGTACAAAAATAACACACGTTAAAACGTAGAAGTATAAAGTTTATCTTAATGTCTCTCGAGACGAACGTTGCAGTCTCTCCCTCCATCATCCGGTGGTGGTTCTCATATCGGTAAGGATGCAATAGTCCGTATAATTTAACAAAAGACTTAAACACGAGGAGGGAAAAACTTGGACTGCTATTTCTTGTTTCTTGGCCTTCCTACCGTCCACTTATTTTGAATTTATAAAGGTAAGAATCAGGGTCCAAGCATGGAATATGTACTTATATTTTTGTTGCATTTTCTTTTATTTAATAGAAAACCGCGTTACTTTCTGACGACATTTATATTGTTTTGTAAATGTATTGTGTAACAGTTCAAGGAGCGGAATGCAATTTTATAGAATTGTGTGAGAATTATTACATAAATACGTAAACGTCAGAAAATTTTCCTATCAGGGTAAAATTATATAAAGGAGATAAGAGAATCTCTTTTTTTGAATTGTTAACTTTCACAAGAGTGAATGTGAAAGGAAAATGTCAGTGTGTTTGGGAAACTACCATGTATCACTACCATATGTATCATCTTGAGAAGACTATATAATCATCACATTAAGAACAAACATGAATGCTCCAACAACGCGAAGGACATTCAGCCGTTTGTTCGCACTATAAGCTTTACTTGTACATGATGAATTTTTCTTATTTATGTACGTAGATCGCACAGCAGCTTTAATTTTAATTATACGCGAATGCTGAGACCTGAGAAAGAAAAAGAAGTGCCTCCCTCTCTTCTTCTACTTTGCCGAAGTAACGTATTCGCGGGGAGAAGAATAGCGTAACTTCTTCCAAACTACTTAGATCTCGGCGTATCTCATCACATCTGTGACAAGCAAGCGGATGATTTAGCGTTAACCATAATTTGCGCAAAGATACTTCCGTACGCAGGTCATTCCAGTATACTAAGAAGTAAATATTTGGTACTTACGATTAGTAGCCTCTTGGTACTTACAAGATTTAGAAAATTAGAGCAGTAAATTACAGCAGCCGTAAAAGACTAATTTTTATATTATCGCAGGATCTTAAAACACGTAGATCTTTCTGTTAAGCCGTGCATGTTTGTAAAAATACGTAGAGATTTTCACGCATGTAAATATACCAGAAAGTTTTATATCAGAATTTTTTTAATGAGGTTAGAAAGATGCCGGAAGAAACCCTTTACTTGGATTGTTAACTTTGTATTGTGTACATACAAATGCAAATACAAATCAATTATGTACAGGCCTCCGTATGAATTTACAAATGATAAAAGTTATATTTCTACGACAGCAGTGTATAACTTTTTCAGACTTGAACTGTTTCGTTGAGAAATTTTTCCAATTGTAAGACTGCGCACCGAAACGATCTCGTATTCTCTTTTATCGTGCACAAAATTGTGTAATCGGAATTCCGTCAACAACGAATAATAAATTTCGTCCATAATTAAAATACAATTTTACAATTACCTACACCTTTTTCTACCTATTTTACAATTACCCGCACCTCTTTCTACTCATTTTATAATTATATTTCTCTAAATTGAAGGTTACGTTCACGTGACCTTCAAATGACTATCCAAGGTTAAATCAATGGCACCACCTTACATTCCCATTCGAACCACACAACTTTTGTTGAAACGTTTTTCAATATCTTTCAATATTTTTGGAGATATTTGCGTGGATTATTTAAAATGAGACACCCTGTATAATAAAATTCTAAGATTCCTACCATTTCCAAGAATTGGAATAAAAATCTCGAAAATTGACAAAGTATCAGGAGAATATGATCGGCAAGGAGGTGGCACTATCTAAATTTCCAAGAATTAGCATTCCGAGAATTTCAAACTTCAGATCGCAAAAATCGAGAATCTGGAAAACTGGCAAAGTATCAGGAGAACATGATCAGCAAGGAGGTGGCACTATCTAAAATTCCAAGAATTTTTCAGCATTTCCAAGAATTGGACTTCCGAGAATTGCAAACTTCAAATCGCAAAAATCGAGAATCCGGAAAACCGAAAAAGTATCAGAAGAACAGGATCAGCAAAGAGGTGGCACTATCTAAATTTCCACGAAATGGAATTCCGAGAATTTTAAACTTCAAATCGCAAAAATCGAAAATCTCGAAAACTCACAAAGTATTACGAAAACATGATCGGCAAAGGGATGGCACATGATGACAACAGGTTGATCTGGAGTTATTCAGCCTGAACGAGAATGAAACAATGTAGTATTGCGGAAGACGTGATAGTGAATATTTTTGTACGGATATATAATATTTGGTTGCAGCACTATACGCAGTCAATTAAATTTACAAAAGATACAGTACATTTAGGCTTTCAAAATATAAAAATAAGTGGAGGGTGAGAAGGCCAATATATGCGAGCCGTGCGCAGTTAATAAGGCGTAGTGTTTAAATTAATAGTCATGTACAATTTATATAATAATAAAACATAAAATACAGACGCTTCGATCCACTCTGGATCATCTTATTGTTAGTGCACAAAAATAATTAATACACGTTAAAACGTAGAAATATAAAATTTATTTTAATGTCTCGAGACGAACGTTGAAATAACAGTCAAATCTTAGTAACACGAGAAAACTCACATTTGCACACACAATTTTTTACTATGCATCTAACAATAAATTTACATCAAGGCGGCTCCTGCATAAACCGACCAGAAGTAGAAAAAAGTTGAAATTGAAGTATGCCGCAGTTGTAAGTTTTATCTATCGGCACGCGAAATTTCGGTCCCGGTCGCGCCGATGAGATAAAGGGAAGAAAAAATAGGATAAAAAAAATATAAGCAACACAGCGGCTCGGTACCGGCGCAGTGCCGCCGAGATCAGCTGATCCAGCGGAATCGCAATGGCCGCCACCGAATGACGGACTCGGCTGGACTCGGCGGCGCGACGGGCTGGTCCGCAGGTTGGAGCAAATGTCCAGCGAAAGGAGCTAGTCGTCGACGATTCATTTCGCGCAGGAGGAATGGCGGGATTAGAGGGCTACGATGTGTACAGGGGCCGGCCTAACAGATCGTGGGAGGCGGGAGAAACCTCTCAGAGGTACTACGGTCGGGAGGTTATCCGTCCTCTGGACATACCCGTTATCCATCCGCTTGCCGAGGACAACCCACCGGTCGTCGACGATGGTGAGAGTCTCTCGCGTTCGCGGTCTTCTCGGCCGAACGTCCACGTTTGATTACGTTGCTTCGGAAGAAAAAATGTTAACGCTTATGTTGAACTTTACCCGAGGTGATGTGCCGCTGAGGATCTCTTGGAGAGGATTCCAGGAACGCGTTGACAATGAATGGAGACTCTGTGAAGACGAGACACGCTTGTTATGATGTTCTGTGTCGCCAGTTCTCTTTCGCCAAACAACAACTTACTTCCTAAAGCCTACAATGTGCTCTCTGCAGCTGGAAAAACGATATATTTTATATAAACGAATCGAAACGCTTTTTTTTATCAACACACATTTTTTAAACGTATTGACTACAGAATAGAATGGTTTTAGGCACAGAGAGCACACTGTAGATTAGATAGCGTTGACATATCTTTGAGACACTATAGTTTATGTTAGCCTCAAACCGTGACTTAAACATATTTAACTGGTCCGCCTTCTTTCAGACATCGCCGTGAGCAAGTACGTCGGACTGGGCTGCGGGCTGGCGAGCCTGATCACGGGGAACCTGCTGATCCACCCCTTCGTGGTGTTGCGGAGACAGTGCCAGGTCAATCCGGGCGCGACCAAGTATCACCTAATGCCCATAACGCTGGTGCCCGTGATAATACGTTTGCACCAGACCCAAGGCATAAACACCCTGTGGAAAGGGATCGGCTCGGTCTTGCTTGTGAGAGGCATGACATTGGCCGTCGAAGATCTGATCTCGAAGGTCACACCGTGGCAAAAGTGAGACGAAATCATCGTCCGACGTTCCGACGATAAGTTGGACCGCGGTATTGTCTTCTTAAAACTGAACGCTTGATTTCAGGAAGATTGACGCCTGCCACGGCTCGTTGAAAGGGTTCGGTCAACACGTACTCCTCAAGTGGTAATTACTCTGCTAATCTATACGAGCGTACGAGTGAACTGCAGCGAGTCGCTGATCTACAATCCCCGTGTTTTGCAGTATCTCCATAGGTATAGTGACCCCTTTCTACTCGGCGTCGCTCGTGGAGACCGTCCAGTCCGAGATCGCGTCCGAATGCCCGGGTATCCTGGACGTTTTTCGAGACGGCGCGATCCGCCTGCTCGACGTGTGCAATAAGGGCAGGCTCATTCCGATCTACGCCCTAGTACCACCCACCATAGTTTACGGGGTATCGAAGTACCTTTTCACCCTCATTGTGAAAGGGGTTACCAATCGGATTATGCACGTCAGGCACAAGCACTTGCAGGAAGCAAGAGTACGTATCCGGCGCCAGATGCTTCCTTCGGAAGGGTTTATACAGCTATGTTATTTCAGGGCGCATACAGTAAGGACCTGCTATCCGAGAGCGTCGTCCAGGATATAGAGATGCACTCCATCCTCGTTTCGGTGTGTGCGGCCGATATCGTGTTTTATCCTTTCGAAACTGTTATACACAGGTTGCACCTTCAGGGCACGCGCACCATCATCGACAACCTGGACACCGGGAAAAGCGTCACGCCGTTATTGACTGGATATAGCAGCGCGGTCGATTGTTACCGCACGATAATTTCAACCGAAGGGCCACTCGGCCTGTACAAAGGATTCGGTGCTCTTGTTTTACAATTCGCAGTACATTTCATGGTGCTGCGCGCGACAAAGTGGCTTCTGACGGAACTGGGCGCGATGCTGATGCCGAAACCTAAGCCGACAAAGCCGCAGAGGTCCCCGTACTACGACGAGATATAAGCAAGACTTGTGTAATAAAAAAAAATGTAAGATATGGAATTATTTATTATTTGCCTTTATTAACGATTATATAAGACGAGAGATCGATTTTGTAACAAAGATAGTTTTCGAGCGCGCTCCTCGATGATTTTAATAAATGAAGATGTCGCAGATCAGAGAAAAATCTTCAAGTTTGCCACGCTAATGATATAATATGAATAAAATTCTACGCGACCGTAATCGCGCAAATTTTCTATACTGCGTGTTTTACAATTGATGCGAATTAAAATAGGAAAGGCAATAGAGTTCTACATAAAAGATCTTAGAGCGTTAAGTATTAAACTTGTGAAATATCGACAACATTTGTAAGTAAGTCACTCTTGTACGACAGTCATTTTCAGTGTGTACCTCCCATATCCGATGAAATGTACTTCCGCGACGTGCGACTTTATTAGATTACTAACACATATGTTACAGATTGTTTACGAGGTAAAATAAATCCAAGTATACTACAGTTCCACATTATAGATTTATTACAAATACAGAATTGTTCTATATAGGACATCAGATCACTGTGAGAGTTAGGAAAAAATTCTATGCAAACGTTCTTCACTCCGTGTTATTATTTTGCACAGCCTGGTTTTTTTTTCTTTCTTCTTTTGCGCCGTTTTAATCAGTAAGTAAATTAGCGATAATTAGCGAGGATGTTTATACTCTATAGTCAAATGGATAATCGTATAATTCGCTCATCATACATATAGACTTTCCTCTTCACTAATCTACTCTACTATGTACAATATATTACACATGAATATTTCTATTTGTTTTGTCATAAAAATAATCATTTATATCGTTCTTCATTTTCTTCATCTACTCTTGTGACCGACGTTCTCCCGTTATCGGAAAAACGAGCACTAATGTCGTGTTTATTAAAATTACTGCGCTACAAAAATGTTTCTTTTTGTTTCTTAAACAACGCGTAACAATAGTGATCTTTTTACAAACAATCCCGGCGTGACAATATACGAAAATTTATTATGAGTGGGGTTACATTAAAATTCTCTTTATTGTATGGCTTGTTACAATTTCGTATTTAATTGAGCGGAATCTTTTGTTTCCGTATCATAAGCCAGTCCGTTTAACATTATAATATCAATTTACCTGAATTTATATCATAATGGAAGTTCGTTTCACAGCGTCAAACGTATAGCATTTACGTTGTCAAATCGGATTCGATGACGCTGATACGATTGAATGCGCATATATATTTTAATTTCTTTAATCTCTTTACGATATTCTGCTATTAGATACGAGCGCGTATTACGCCGCTTTACTTTCGATGTTACCCTCAATAAATGCATGCAGGATGCAAAACTCGATTGGATGTGGAATGCTATTATGTATGATTTTTTGACTTTCCCTGCAATACGAATGAATTAAACGATACAAAATTTATTTACACTTTTCCCATTGTCGAGTAAGAATTAGGTCTGTATATTCTGACATTTTCTATTTTGATGCGACACTTTCTCTTGGAAGAGGCATTTATAATGCGTGTTCCAAGTTGGCAAAACGCAAGACACATGTGACTTACAACTTGCAATATCATTCTTATTACGAAATCAAATAGTTATCTAAAGCGTATTGGCATTCGTGTCTATATTACTGTTATTCTGCAACAGGTGTGGTTCCGTCATAAAAAATAGCTTTCGAGATAGTCTTTGGAAACAAAAACACATATACGAAAAGGCGAAACACGTGTCCAAATACGTCCTTCTCCTTCCGATATGTATAGTTAATAGTGCAGCAAATAAGTCCAATATTATACACAATATCCAAAATAGAAAGAAATTCACTGTAGCAAAAAAAAATAGAAACAATTACAATTTCAGAATATATTGTAAATATACAAGACAGCTTGAAAACTACGTATGCGTTGTTCTCGTATTACTCTCGTTTTACACAAAATAATTATATGAAAAGAAGAATATATTATGTCCTTTATAAAATAATTAAAATAGCGATTTATGCGAATGATCTAGCTCAATTTTTGCCTAAAAATTGTCCACCTATCGATAAGGGAGCAGTTATACCAAAGTGTCGCATTCTTTAATTATTTGTTAATTATGTACATGCTGCGCCTGCTGAATGTCATCGTCATTGCTATCGTCTCGCTTCACGTATTGCGGCTTCTCAGCGCCTTTCACGCACTGTTCTGTAATGTGAACGGACACTATGTCGCTCCCGGGTACTTCGAACATCGGTTCCAAAAGCAGCGACTCCATTATCGCTCGCAAGCCCCGCGCCCCCGTTTTCCTTTCCATTGCCAAAGATGCAATTGCGTTCAAAGCGTGTGTGTCGAACGTCAGCTCCACCTGCGTAAATGCAATGCAATTTGTTCACAGCTTAATTCGTCCTTAGCAACTACTGCGATTTGAAGAAAAGGGCACTATGAAGATAAAATTGGGCCGTACCTTGTCCATTGAGAACAGCATCTGATACTGAGGAACGATGGCGTTTTTTGGTTCGGTGAGAATTCTCGCTAGCATGTCTCTGTCGAGGGTGTGGAAAGGCACGAGCACGGGGAATCTGCCGACGAATTCGGGTATCATGCCGAAGTCGATGAGATCTCTGGCTTCCACTTGTTGCAACAGCATGTCCTTCTCCTTATTGTCTCTCTCGGTGGAAGGTGACATATTGGCGATGTCGGCCAAAGTCGCCGCTCTCCTGCCCGGGCTCTCAGCCGCGGGCGTCGCGCCAAATCCGAGATACTTTTCCGATTTGCGTCGCGCTATCAACCTGTCCAAGCCGCTGTAAGCGCCCGACGCAACGAAAAGAATATTCGTAGTGTCCACCTGCAGCATTTCCCCGCGCAACTTTCTCGAGCTGTTTCTCTCCGGCACGTTCACAATCGTCCCCTCCAGCATCTTGAGCATCCCTTGCTGCACGCCTTCGCCGCCCACGTCGCGCAGCTGGTGGATCCCGGGGATGGCACCTATCTTGTCGACTTCGTCTAAGAAGACGATGCCCATCTGAGCACGGTCCACCACGTAGTTGGCGTCCTGAAGGAGCTTAGCTATGACACTCTCTATGTCCTCGCCGACGTAGCCGGCCTGCGTGAGAGTGGTGCAATCACAGATCGCGAACGGGACGTCCAGGCATTGCGCGATCGTTTGCGCGAGTAACGTCTTGCCGGAACCCGTAGGCCCGAGCAACAGTATGTTGCTCTTTTCCAGCTTCAACTGATGCTGCTTGCTGTCTAATATCGCCGATCCAGGAGCCGTCTGGCTGCTCGCCTTCTGCTCGCCTCCCGGATTCACCGTGTGCTGAAACCCGACTCCTGGAAACGGATTTCCGATGCCTGATATATGCAGTAAATCTGCAGCAAAAAAAAACACTTTCTGGTAATCGCGTGAAGTAACACATTTTTCCGAGGGAATTGTAGAAATATTGATATATATATGTACAATATTAGATCGCAATCCAAATTAAAGTAGTCTTAAGCTACATCGATTCTACGTGGTGAACTTCTGATTATACAGACTGCATAAAATACTTTTCTTGACAATTGATAACATCGGGGCATTTTTATTTACGTGGTTTAGGACCTCTGTGAGTGAAGGGATGATTTGTCTCCTGCGTGCTGACCGGGTTAACGTTAGTCTGCGCCTGCGAGTTCTGGGCCGGCAAATTATTGTAAATCCGCTTGTAGTGATTGTAAACCGCAACACTCAGCACCTTCTTCGCGTATTCCTGGCCCACGACGTGTCGGTTTAGATACTCGAATATCTAAAAATATCATGTCGTTGCATCATTTTTTTCTCTCGTCCTGTAGTTGAGACAAGTATAAACGTATCAGAGTTCGCTTAAGCGCATTGCCAGAAATCATGCGTGAAATGAAACGCACCTTTAGAAAAAGTCTCGTTAAGCGAATGGACACTTTATCCGCAGCACATTGTATACAACTGAAATGTGATCAGACGTGAATTATTACCTTTTTTGGAGGTGGAGGTGGCTTCCTGTAAAACCCTTGCTTGCCGTCCTCCGGCCTGAGCGCCTCCTTCAAGCTTCTCTTGGAGTCGATCTCCGACAGCACAACGAAGAAATGATGGCACTTCTCGCACTTGACGAATCTCGTGGATGCTGTGTTATTTGCAAAAATGGTAGACGCTGCGTTAGAACGTAACATTAGTATGTGAAGGCGGGTTGTAAGGGCTTAACTATATCGTAAACATAGCGGTTTCCAATGGATATCACATCGCAATCTCATTAAGCTTGTGCTCGGCGTTTCTGCTTACAAACAAACGTCTCGACGTGCGTGCAGGGATCGCCGCACTTGGGGCAGGTGAGCGTGTTCTTCTTCCCGCCGCCTGTGCCGCTGCTCGAGGATCCGCTGGACGGGACGGTGTCCTTGGAGGGTGGCGTGGGCTCCGTGGGGGCCTTGCCCAGGCTGCCGCTGGTCGTCAGGGCTCTGCTGGCCACGACGACCCGGACGATTTTGTGCACTGCGCGACCGCAAGCGGTAAAACTCTCGTTAGATCGCTCCTAGCTGCCTCCCGTTGCCGCCGGCTCCGGTCTCGCTGGCGCGAGACAGCCGGGGCCCCGTTTACAGACTCACCGTGACTGGTGACATGGTTAGAGGAGGCTAAGCGACCCGCACTGATCAGGCAGCAGCGCACGCAGCTCATGGTCGACGGCGGTGGATCCCGGTAGGGTCGAGGGACACGGGGACAACGGGACCTGGGCTACCTAGGGCGCTACGCGTGTTCAGATCTGAAATCAGAGAGGCATTCCCTTGCGTACGACCATATTGCACAGAGTCGCGCCGTACGTGCTCGAGCACCGACGCCGACGACGGCCGACAGCTCGCGCTCGCGGGTCTTGCGAAATAACGCGGGCGCGCGCGCGGACGAGTAAACAGCCGCGCTCGCGGAGAAACGCGGGGATCTCTCCGTCCTACCCGTCGGGTTCGCCGCGACTTCGGCTCGGAGCAGCGACTGTCGTCGTCGTTGTCGTCGTTGTCGTCGTCGGGGAAATACACGAGACTCCTGAACGGGGCGGCGCGACTCTCCGAGCGGGGGTGACCTACGTGACAGCCGAAATCCGCGACATCGTCGTCGCGACGTTGGCATCGCGCGACATCGCGCAAGGACGATAACACGGAGAAAAACAGAGATATGAGATAGAGAGAGAGATACATATATATGAGAGAGAGAGAGAGATATATATATATAGAGTGTGTGTGTGAGAAAGAGAGAGAGAGAGAGCGGAAGGGGGAGAGGGGGTAGAGGAGAAAGAGAGATAGATGGACGGATAGACACGCGGCTGCAATCTTACCCGAGTCGACGGCGATAAAAAAAACCGCGACCCGTCGACGGACGTCAGTGCCGCGGACGCGCAACGTAACGCGCGGCGCAACACCTCGGGGGGAAAACATACGTGGGCGCCCTCCCGTTGAATCCCCCCTCGGCGATCCCCGCGCCCTCCCGCACGATCGCGCGGAACTCGCTCGCCGCGTGGCCAAGACCTTCCTCGCGCGCGCGCGCGTGTCGCGACATCTCTAGAGTTTCTATGGGTACTTATAGGCCGGTATTCATAGCGCTATAGCTTTTATAATCTCATTAGTCCCAGTCTACAATAGAGATTTAAGCCCTAAGCCTTAAGAAATTGACTAATCACAGTCGCGCATTCTACTCATACTTGACCGTGATTGGCCAATTTCTTAAAGCTTAGGGCTTAAATCATCTATTGTAGACTGGGACTAA